CTTTCTTTTGGTAGGTGACTTCGAAAGAAAAGACCAAACTATGGTTGAGAAAAAAGAAGAATACAAAGGGGGTAAATTCTATTGAGCTGCACTGTACTTAACACAAAGCATTATTTCTGCGACTCTTAGTGTATAATATTTATCAATTAACTTGCCACAGTGCAACATTTCCCCTAAAATCACTTCATATTCCTCATAATTTTCTTATTTTCCTTGATCTCATTCTGTTCCTTTCATATCACTGTAAAACTCCTATTGAACTATAATCGTATTGGATTAAAGAGAGATATAATGTAATTGCGGCAAGTCTTTTCCATGTTGTCCATATCAATGTTCTTTTGTTTATTTGTAATCTAATAAGCAAAGATCAGATTTTTCGTAGTGTTGTGTTTTGTAAACAAAACATTACAATTTAAGTTAAAATATACATATTGCTGATAGCTTTCAAACAATGCCGAAGCATTCCTTCACATTTTAAAAAAATGCAAAATATTTTCTGACTTCCAGATTTATTTAATATATGAAAATCTTGAGGCAATAAAAGCTTATTAAAGATGAAATATTTTCCTTTTCAAGTTTTAGTAGTCTTAATTAGCTCCGAATTAATACTTGTTATAACTAACAATGGTTACGATTTGGATCAGTATAAACGATTATCAGCTGAAATACCTGTTAAAGATGAACCATGTTTAGATTGAGGGTGTGGGGGTATGTGTACAGGTGTGAGTGAGTGAGTGAGTGTGGAGTGTGGATGAATCGGAAAGAGAGAAGTCCGTCACTGACACTCCACACCCCACTACGCCCACACTCCACTATACCCACACGCACACCCACACTCAATCACGCCTGCACCCGCATCTTCTGCAGGCTGAATCGCGACAGGTGTTCGGAAAAAAAGCAGATTTCTAGCTCGGATTTGCCGCTTCGGGTGGATGGGAGCATTGAATCGAGCACCAAAGGTGTGCATTCGATAAAGGTCGTCAAGATATACTTGGAAAATTCTTCTGGTCTAATCGCGACAGATTTTGGGAGAATTGGCTGCATTTTATAGAATTTTTTCGTGGTATTTGAGGGGTTTTGTTCATCTAAGAGGGGTTTCGAGCAGAATGAATACTTGGCTTGAATAGAGCTCGTCGACTTCTACTTGGAAAGTAGTTTGACTGTTTGGCAAAGTTGTTCGGAACAATTGATTTAGGGAAATACTCGAATCCTGAACTCAGATAACCTACGTAACATATTTTTGCTATTCTGTCAAGAGTCACATTAGCAAAAATTATAGAGAGACTAATAGAATGAAATTTTTCATAGTCTAAAACACAGGTTTACAGAAACCTCCTCCTACCAGAAAGCGTTTTATTTGATTATTTCAAAACTGCAAACTTTTTTGAAACCTAAATTATCACATAGAATCTATTGCCTCAAAATCAAGAATCAAAGGCATCAATCAAGAAGAATTAATAACATAGTGTGATTCATCTGACGTCTGACAACATATTAATAAGTTAATCATAGAAGGTTTGCATGAACGTGTACACTTTAATCAATCAACTGCACGATTATTACATACTGTTAGCGATATTATTGTATGAAGAAATCTTCATTCTTGTTGTTGCATCCAGTTCTACTAATAAAACGTATATACGTGTATTATAATGCACTTACAAATAAGACAAGACTTCTTTGTAGATTTTTAACTTGCCTAAAGATGTTCTCAGAATAAAAGTATTATAAGCTTCAACTCTTAAACAGATCAGTGAAAATTCCATAAACTGACTAAAATACCGCTTGTAATTTTATGATTGATTATTGTTTTTTATTTAAAAAAATATGGCTAAGAATAAAATGATGAAATCTCAATGTATGAGCATGCAAGATATTCTGTGTATTAAATCCGACAATATTTTATTGTTAGAACTAAGATATAATGTAAAAGTGAATAATGAAAATTCAAATGTCTTTTTTCAATGTAACATGGTAATATTCGAAACTATTGAATGAAAAAAAAATGTTTCTGACATATTGGACAACAAGAACTGGAAAGTTTAGTTTCTTGGAAAAACAAGTCAATACAATCTTTAGATACGTGGCAAAGCATGTTTTTTGACAAATTCCAGTGCTTTACGATTGAACTCAGTTCGATTGTCCATATATTCACGACCGAGTTCTAAAAAAAAGAAATGAAAATAAATAAAACACTGGTTAAAAATAAACGAACCAACGCTTAGTGAACTATCAATATCAGGCTTGTCGATATGTTCTATTACAGCTTTAACCACATCAGCCAGAGACGTTGTATTTTTATATTCATAAGTTTTTTTCAATAATGCATGACAAAACTTGCCTAAAAAGAAACTTGATAAAAATTATTTTTCATCTGTTCTCTCATTTTTTTTCTTACCATCTTGGCCAACATTTGGATGATAAATTGGAGTAAGAAAACGTACTTCAGGTGGATCGAATGGATAATTTGATGTTAATTTCATTTCAATTTGAAATGAACCTTCTCTAAATACCTCCGAATCTGGGAAAATCCGTCCAATAATAACGTGTTCTGGTGTGCTTGAAGAAGCAGCTGCTCGTCCTTCATCACTTTCTTCGTCAAATGGTGTCTTCTCAAGTACAAACTTGGGAACTGAAGTAGTTGCGTTCAACAATTTTAATCGATTGATATTCGTGTATAGATCCTTGTTTAATTTTGTTGTAGACATTTGTTTTTTAATCTAATAAGATTCGAATCGTTCAAAAATAATACTTTAAAAAGAAAGAAGACCAAAAGTCATTACTGTTTCATATAGATTATTTTTTTTCTTTCGTTCTTGACAGAGATAAGTAAAGAAAAAGGCAATAATGACGATAAACACAAAAAACGAGACAAGAAACATACAGCGTTTTCGTTACAACGAAGATTTTAACGATTGTTTTTTACAAAACAAATCGTTTGTCAATATCATTTTAGTATACAAAGAAGAAAACTTTTCATATACAAACGATTCTTTATGTAGAATAGTGATACATTTGAAATGGTGTCATGAAAAAAAACTTTCTACTCAGAAATATATACGTTACTTACGTTGTAATTCCTTCCGTTCTGTCGAGAAAAAATGAAGGTAAACAGCGTGTCTCGCCCATTTATTCATTCGTATTTTCACTTGAAAACTCCAGTTCGGAATAATTGTTT